AGCGTTCTTTAGAGCATAAAGGAAGGAATCATCAAGGTGATATCGGAAAGGCATATGTCATGATATAGGATGGGAAGTGGCCAATTAGATACCAAGCTCTCAGAGGTCCCTGCGGCTTCATTGATGCTCTTCATCCCCTTAAAATGATTTTATGGTAAAATGTCACAGTGAAAAATAAGTTCTGATCCTTTTACCGACTATATCTGTTCTGAGGAGAAGTGATTGTGAAAAAAGACGAGCCCAAATACATAGATCTGAGCTGTATTCTATGATGCTGTACCGTCAAATAAAATATTACAAAAAATAATAATTTGAAATTTAAATTTCAAATAAAACGGGTGCGGGATGGTTGCGGGACAAATGCAGGACAAGTGCGGGAGGGTGTAGGACGGTGCGGGACAAGTGTAGGACAAGTGTAGGATAGGTGTGGGATTGCCAAACTCGCAGCCAATATCTAGTCCATAATCTGCAGGAGAGATACGGTAATCGAGAAATGAGGTCCCAGATTTCTGTCTATCACAGTACAATTGGTGCAGAGAGGAGACAAACTTGACCCGCTGGAAGACAATCATTGATCCCTAAATGTTGGAAAACGATCGGTCAACCTTAAACACTAACACGGAAGGTAGTCCAAGATCCAGAATTGCAAAAAGAAGCTTGTTATTCCTTTCCTGTTGGCGTCCTCGACGGGCCACCTCGGCCCACGAACGGCGGGTGCTAAAGTGCAATAATGAAGAAGGATGTTGACTGCTGTCTCTTCCCTCTAAATGGTGTTTAAAGGTCCCGAACGGGTGCAAATACAAGAAATACTGACGTCTCTAGGCAGTCAAAGCACTTGAACCCGTTCTTCGAAGCACCAGAACTATTCGATAAATACATAATGCAGCGTTTAAAACGCAGCTAGGGCATAATTTTATGATCAAGGTGAGCACGATACTATCCTTCCCAAGATGACAATTCGATAACTGGTTCGTAAAGATATACCTATCGGCCTATAAGCCACGGGAGCTGTTGTCTCCGAAGAAGGTTGTCCCAGTGTCCACAAGTCATCATAGGGGCACAACAGCAACCGTCATTCTGAGCCTGGCACCTAAACCTTTCGATGACGAAAGCAGCCGCTTTATCGGATCACTTGTCAAGAAAATTTTGGAAATCCGGTTATCGACGGTTATGTCGACTACAAAGATATACGGGAGGCTCATGCGTATAAAGAGTGATCCATATTTCTTAGTTAATTG